CTCAGGGAGGCAGTGAAGGACAGGAAGGCCTGGCGCAATATGGTTCATGGGGTCACGAAGAGTCGGACACGACTTAACGACTAAACAACAACAAGTGTTTTCTTTGCCTTCTGATATATGGATGTGTTATGACCTGTCACACTACCATGGCAACCTTTTTGTGAGAATGCCCATAGCATGCTCTCACATTTCAAATGTGCCACTGATCCCAAAAGACTGGGCTCCAGAGTATTTCCCACTAATTATTCATAATATAACTATTTTCTCATTCTACTTGATGGACCTAATTAAACCAACAATTGCTTATAAACTGCCTCACTTATTGGTTAAATGTCTAAAATATTGAAGAACTTTTATTTTTGATGGTGTTCCTCTATTAGCAGCAGCAGCAGTCCTAGTATATTTGATTATCCCTTATCTTTGCAGTACATTTCTACTCATCCACTAGATTTGTCTTGAAAACTGGGCCTTTTCTGCAGATTTGACTGTAGAAGAAGGAAAGGGACACATTAGTTGTAAAACAAAAGTCCAGTTTGGACATGTTAGATATAGCCCTTCCTCATTTCTTTTAAATCTGATTTTTTTTAACAATAGGTTTCAAATCTGGAATGATATGTCTTGTTTCCCAACTCCCATCATTCACTTACCTTGGTCACAATTGACTCCTTTAAATCCTGAGATGCATGTACAGCTTCCATCACCTAACAACCCATCATTGCATTGCCCTTTATTGCAATTGCACTCTAAGAAGAAATATAAGTCTTTGTCAGGTACAAATAAAAACACCTAATGTTAACTCATGCTGGGTTTTTTGCACACAGACCCCCATTAACTATATGCAGCTACCTCTTTCTATGTAGCATGTATCACCGTCAATAACTGCATGGGGGCCTAGAAATGAAACATGAGCGAAGCCCTCTGAGAAACGTCAAAATGTTTGTGGAATAATGTTCTAGGAGTTTACAACTTATCTAGCAATAGAATAACACATGGCCTTTGAGTATCTTGCAGGTGGCCCTAGTCTATAGTAGTGGGCAGACCCAGGACAACATTTCCATTTAAGTACAATTAAATATAGTTAATAGGATAATTGTTTGACCATTTGTTTAATGACTCCTCCCTTGTGCCACATTAAAAATTGCAGGATGACAACAAGTTTCAGAAAGCCCTGGAGAATGCATGCCAATCTTTTTGTGTATGTCTCTGTTTTAGAGCAAATGCTTCTCTATGCAGTAGCATAGACGCTATTCTGATATTCCAGCCATAATCACCTTCCCTCACCCCAATTCTTTATTTTATATAGTGTTTTGAAAGAAGTAAGCAGCACAAAGAAGAACATTAGGTGCAGATGCCACAATATAGGCAGATATTAGCCATAATCACCTGATTGACACTTGGGTCCATATCTTCCTGCTTGACACATTTCACAGGCTGTGCCATGGAAACCTTCTTGACACTGGCAATCTCCATTGCCTTCAATACCATCTTGACACACCCCATTACCAGAGCACCAGCTGCCTGGTTTCCCAGGGCACATCTCACACATAGCACCATAGTAGCCTGGACAGCAGACAGAGACCTCAGAAAACAGACAGATTACAGTCAGACCAGAAAAAAAAATGCTATACAAACATAATTATTACTGTTACTGTTGAGTGTCTCTTTATTTTGGTTCTTCCTTGTAAGCTACTCAGTGTCATATCATTTGAGTTGGATGTTCATATAAAATCTTCAAATAAATTGATGTTATGTTCAAAAATTTATATTGCTTTGATAGTTACTTAGGGCTTGAGATGGTATCATGATAGCATCTTCTTGCTTAACATTTCTGACATGGCACCAATAATATTGATATACTTCTATGCAACAGCAGGATGATCACATGTTCACTCAGATCATGAGTAAGAAACTGGTCTCAGTGCCTAACACAAAGAAAAGAGCACTTCTCTACCAGCCAGAAGAAAATAATTCCATATGGAATAACTGCATATTTGACATGCATGTGGGTATTTAGTTAGTAAAGTTTACTTACTAGGGAAACTTTGATGCAGGTGAAATGGCAGCCAACTAAATTCATGCCTCCAGATCTATATATACAGTGAGGAAGATTCCCTCTGCCTGGTTTTTGCTGTTAGTTAAAAAGAAAAAAAATGTAATCAGATGATAAGCAGATATGTATTCCAGACAGATAACATCTAGGCATGATCAAGAAACAACTCTTGTATTAACTCCTTCTACCTCCTCACCATTAACATGATTAACTCCAGAATTCTCTAAAGAGCTGCTTCTTGTACAAACTTTTCTGGTGACACGTTTGATAGACAAATATATCAACTGAAGTAAACCAAGACTTACTGCAAGCACTGATCCTGCTGGGCACTTGATCCTTTTGTCGCACTTAGCACATCTTGACTGGCATACAGGGGGAAAAAGGATAATTAATGGGTATTTCAGAGCATGTAAAAATATGAGCATCAACTGCAGAAGAGTAATATGGTCAGCAAGTCATAACAGAGAGGAGCCCAAATTAATCAGTAACTGGTTATTATTTTTCATACTCTGTGATAGCAGAGAACATTTTTAAAGGCATTGCCAAGATTGTGTTAAAAGAGGATCTGTCATCCGAACCTTTTGTTATTCCCACATCAAGATTTATTCATTTCAAAGTCATAGGCCTCTTTTAACCTAATAAACCAATCACTCTTAATTGAGGTTTTCACTCTGATGATTCCCACTTTTCCTAGGAAACCTATCTTTACATAACAACCAAGTTTCTTCTGGTTTGAATTATACCAACTCAAGACTGCAGGAAAAGCCATCTATCAGTGAGAAACTTCAGAGTCAGAAGGATTAGAAGACCAAATTCCATACTCATCCCTTTTCTCTAGGGCTTCACACTTTACCTTTTCACTGGGTAAAAAATCAGGCCAAATGAATTCACATTATCATCACCACACTCATGCATTGTGTTGCACCCTATTCTTGGCAACATGTGACACATCGCTTCAAAATTACAGGAATGAAAAGTGGACTAGATTGGCTCCCAAGGTATTTGGTTCATGGCCCCATTCACTGATTTTGTAGGGAGGCACCACTGAACACACTGTCTGAAAAATCAAAATAATCTGCAAAAGACCACAGCCTTTCTCTTGGTTGGCAATTGGCTGGCAAAAGACCACAGCTGATCTTATGGCAATTCTCCCCCTCCCCTCTGCAAAGATATTAATGACTATCTATCAATTCAAAGACAACTGACTGGGGAAGAGTGACATGTACATCCAATCATGATGTCAAGAAAGAGCATTTTACTTCCTGAAGGTAAGGTCTATGCAGCCCTATGAAAAACATGACTTAGTGTTTGACAGTAGAACTTATTGTACAATTCCATACTTGTATGGAATACAATAGATCCTATGAAGTTTAGAGGGTTTACTCTTAGCTAAGCAGACAGAAGATTGGGGTCTGAACTAGCCAGGATCCATTAATTTCAGAAAATCTTTGCCATATTCAATTATTTTTGTTAGCACAACTGCTGATATAAAATCAAATGCTAATATTAATTTTGTTATTTTTATCATATTGAGAATATTGTATAGAATGACACCAAGTGCTGTTGACGAGGACTACAGATACCAACTTAGTTGTTCTGAAAGTTGCAAAATTTTGGATTTTAAGAGGAATATTTATTATTTAATTATATGTGGCTCAGACAGCCAGTATATTCAGAAGTATAAAATGAGGTAGCAGAAAACAAGTAGTACTCATAATGAAGAAATAAGATCTCTAATGCTTTACCTTTTGTACAGTGGTGGTATTGGTATTGCAACGGTTTTTGTGAACCTGTAGAACTTGAGAAACCCCAATCAGCATTCCATTTCTTGTTTCAACAAATGGGCCATTCAAAAGAACCCTGTTTACATATGTCTGCAATAAAAAAAGAAAGGATAAGAAGAAGTGAAGCAAGGTTCATTGAAGCACCATGACTTCGATATTAATTTTAATCAGAATAAGTCAGGTAGGATGTAGAAAGATATTATCCAGCCAGCATTATAAAACCTTTCCTAGCCAATACAATTCAGCATCCTGCGTGAACTCAGCGGAGGCTGACATAAACCAATGAGCTGCCCTGTGGTTTTTGATTTGTGGATGTCAATTTATTAACCAGCACTCTGGGATCCTCCAGTTTATGTTACACAGGTCACTGAATAATTTTCAGTAAATATAAATAAGTAAAATATTTAAAATAAATACATAAAACATTTCAGGGTTGCAGCTACAATATACATGCAAATTTACTATGTGAAAAATATAGTATTATTTCATACTTTTAGCTGTTCCTTGTTAAACCACACACTGTAGAAGTGAATTTATAGCTCATCCTCACCTTATTGAGTGTATTAGAAAACATGAGCCAATTGGAGAATCCTAACATTGTGCTTCTGTGAGCTCCGTTCTTCAGATCTTTCAAAAACAGTTTATCACCAATTACGATATGATACTGCACGGTGTCATTATCCTAGAATCCAAGAGCCACACAAAACAAAATGTTCAAGTTCAAGACAATTATTAGAATCATCAAGGCAACAGCTAGTGGAATAGAAACTTAAAGAGAAGATGCGTAGTAAGAAACCAAATTTCTCCCCAATCTGTGCCTCCAGATATCTTGGTCACAACCCCCAGAAGAGCCACTTTCTTCAGATCTCCAGTGAGCTGATGTGAAGTTCAGACTGGCCTCCCGCTAGGCTGTTGCTTTGCCATATTCAACCACATCAAGTACATCTTGATTCGTGGAAAAGGTGCCACAAGAAAAATATTCCCATTACAACCATCAGAGATAAAAAGATTCTCATACGACAAGTTGTGGAACCTAGAAAAAAGTCCAGCAGGTTGCCAAAGCTACTCCCTGAACTCATGAAGCAGAAATGCTAATTTAGTTTCACTGTTATACCTGGCATATACTGATGCCCATAGGATACCAACATGCTGACAGATAAAACCAAGTCCTTAAACGATATGTAAAAGCAATATTTCATTAAATGACTGGGGAATACTTTTGTCATTCATAGTTACATCATTATTAAATTAATTTGTAAACGATGTGGTTACAGCCACATCACATCTTTCAGTGCAAGACAAATGGAGATGTATCACACTTGACAATGCTCATATGCAAATGGAAACTCACAGTTAACTTGTGAGTGGATTGTTAGTTGTTAAGTCTCTTACATGAGTTTTTTATTGCACATCTCCTCTTGGGAACACAGCAGTAGTTGCCCATTATACAGGATGAGGTAGAAACCCCACCTTTAAAATTCATTAGATACGGGAGCTTGGTGGTGCATGAAGCAGCCAACATCAGTTAATTCCAAATGTGATATCCCAGGACTGAATCCAAAATCTTATTTACTGATATGTCGTTTCCCACAAATAAAAAACAAACTGTACAATCATGTACACGTTGAATCAAAAGTTAAGTCTCACTGAGTTCGGGCAGCTTATCCCTAAATTAGTGCAATTATGATTATTTCTTTAAACTCTTACCAGTTGGGTAATATTTGATGATTGGCAATATTTCTCAATTGAACTATTTCCTGGGACAAAAATAGTATATTTCTGTGATGACTCAATTTTTCTCACCAGCTGATATTGCTGAAAGTTTTAAAAAACACAGTTAGCAAGCCAATCAAGGCAATGAAAATTGCAGTCCATAGCTAAAATAATATTTATGTTAATATTTTTTTAAAATATAAAAAAATTACATACTTAAAAAACAGCAACAACAAATAACAAATATTAAGAATTCAGACTGAAATAAATTCACTGCATTTTTGTATCAGCAACAAACCTATGTGTTATATCAATGTTTCACCATTCTCTTGAATGAATGAGTGAATTTGTCAATCAGTAGCAATGATGAATAGCACCTATGAGAGATGGCCTTGGCTGGGATAGGATAAACGTAAATCCCAGCTAGCACTTCTTGCTGCTTGCCTGAACCCACTAGCTAGATTCACAGATCATACTCATTCATTTCTCCAATTGTTTGATTTTGGACTGAGTGCTCTGCACCCAGCTATTACAGTGTGCAAACATTGTTTGGAGCAATATGAAAACTTAGCTTCTGTCTTCCACTGTATCACTTACTAAGTTGACCTTCCTCTAGCCCCTTGTAAAAGAATTCTTTAAAACATACAGGGAAATATCATTCTACTGAGGGGTTTACCTCCAAAAGCTCTTTGAACCTCCAGAAGGAGGGCACTGTGTTCAATTGCTCCTGCAGACCAGGTGGGATCTTGACAGATGTTGGTAACAGAACCTGGGTATAAGAAAAAGCAAACTGAGGAAGGTGCTTCCCTATGTTTTTTTCATCTTATAAATAGCTTAGTTAGGTTTAAAGAGTGCTACCGAGGGGAGAAAAATGATTTTAGAAGACTCTTCTCAACATCTTGGTGGCATTGTGGCTTCTGTTTAATGAAGCCACAATGCCACCAAGATGTTAAGCATCCTTGCTTAACAACCGTTCATTTAACAACAGTTCAAAGTTATAATGGCCTTGGAAAAAGTGCTTTATAACCTGTATTCGCACTTATGACTACTGCAAACCATCGCACCACCCCCCACGGTCACATGATCCATGATTTGTGACCTTTTTTTACAATGGTTGTTAAGCAAATCACCATGATCATTAAGCGAATCACATGGTTGTTAAACAAATCACATGGTCATTAAGTGAATTCTGGCAAAAATGTCCATTGGGGAGCTGGATTCATTTATCAACCACATGATTCACTTAACAACCATCGTAAAAATGGTCGTAAAATTGGGTCCAGTCACATGGTGACTCACTTAATGACTACCCTGCTTAATATCTAATTTTCCAGCCCCTATTGTGGTCGTTAAGTGAGGACTATCTGTAATGAAAGAGCATTTAGAAAAGCATTTAGCATTTCTAAATCCCTCTCCCCTTTCTCAGAACAACAGAAAAAGACAAAGATCCAGGGCAATCTAATCAACATACCTTATTGATGATATAAATAGTGCTGTTAATAGCAGGAATATCACCCAATACAATGCTAGCATTCTGAATAGTTATTTCCTGAAAAGCAAATATATGCAGATGGATAATTCTGAATTAGTCCCATTAGAATTAAAGTTTAACCATTCCTATTATATTTTACATCAAAACAGTTTTTGCTTTAGCTGGGGGACCGGGCTGAGATGGGAACCTGAGGCCCTATGGTTGCAAGTACCATCCACATTTCTTTTTTCTTTTTGTGGTCTTTTAACTCCATTTGTCAAAAATTACCTGCAGAGTTTCCCAAAATGTTGGGCTGAAAAGGAGCAGAAATCAGCATACGGTTTTTAATCCTTTCCCTCACAAACCAACCCTAGGAATTCCAGAAAAATCCAGATACAAATACAAATTCTTTGCCACCCATTGCTCCCTCAGCCTGCCCATTCATGCCCCCCCCGCCGTAATATTAAAATATCCTTTCCCAGCACCGCTGCTGTAGGCAATAGCCTCAGACTGGATTAATCCTTCAGTTCTGGTGGAGAAAAAGGTTCACTTACTCTTGTAAGCAAATCACAGAGTGCAAAAATGTCAATATGCAGGAACTTAACTATATAGCCCAGGTAGGGTCTCTAACAAGGAAAAATGCCAACAGCCCCAGACAGCTGCACCAGACTCTGATGACCAGCATTCTATCTGAAATAGCCATTGGGCGGCCATTTTGTCCTATTACACGGCAGCTTTCCTCAGCATGCGTTTGTAACCATCATTTGAGGGACCTGCACTGTGCTGTAACTGGAGAGGAAAAGTTGCTTAATTTAGGATCGGTTCTTAGGATTGGACATATCTTTTCGAATCTGCCATCCTCTGGATTTGTCAAACTGCAGTGGTTGTAGATTATGGGCCATGCAGTCCAGGACATCTGAAGGATAACAGGTTGGGAAAGGCTTATCAAAACTCCCCATTTAATTTTGACAGTGGCCACGTGCCTTTGTAAACAGGCTATGCTGAACATTTCACAGGTCAGAAATTAGAGCCTGCAGGCCTGCCTTGGTTCTATTTTCCTTGGGGCACCTTTTCTTCAGTGTAAAAGTGGCATTAGCACATTTCAGTAATATCACTTTAATTTTGGTTATAGGGGGTAATGTCACTGTTTTTAACATATAATCCCTTACCCCATTGTTGCTCTTTATTTCCCACTTGGCCTGTGGATTGAGGGTGGGGAGTTCTCGGCCAACATAGTTCTTGAGTTGCTGAGTTGTGAAAGAGCCCTGGAGGAAGTGGGACCTAGGACAGCACAAAATATTAAGAAAACTACAGCTGGCTGGTTAATGGACAAGAGAACACCTTCAGTTAGACTCCGTGATGGTTAGCAAAGAGACACAGCCTCTTTTAAATGTGTCAGGAGACACTATTAAAAAGACAATTCATCAGTCATCTTGGTTGCTTTGGCCACAGCTAGATGTCTTCTTTCCTGGAAGGAATGGAGCCTTTGGGCTTGCCTGTTCTCACCAAAAAGCTCTCCTACATGCTTTTTATGAGGGGGGAACCGTGCTTCTGAACCATTTTGGGAAAATACCCAGCCAGAAGGAGTTTCTCTCTTCATGCAGATCTAGTATATGGCATTAGTATGGACATTAACTAATCCACATCCTAAAAAAGCCAACAGAGCCCACAGAAAGGTTCTCATGTGAACTAAATTGTTTGCTGTGTAGTTGATCCATGGAATGGCCTGATCCCAAGAGATTACTCTAAGATAGGGTTACCAGATATCTGAACAGGCAAAGGAGGACAGGATAATTGGAAAGAGGACAAATGGGAGGAAAAGTTGGACACACACTAACTGTTTAAGTTTCTTGGTATCTGCAACAACAATTAAAGTGAAAAACAGCAGAAAACAAAAGTACTTAGGCCTATACAGTATGTATATGAAATTACTTTTTCCAGCCTCAGAAAGACTGGTTTTTCAATCCCAGGAATGAGCTAGAGCTGGTTAGGAGGCCAAAGCCTTCAGCATGTAACTGATTAAGATCTGGTCAGTTTCAGGCAGCAGCTGCCAGCTGGCAGGAGAGTTCCAATCAACTAATTAAGGCCAGAAAGCTGAACTTGTTAAATTGTGGTTAGCACTTATTAGGGAGGGAGAAAAGCTGCTCAGGAGGAGATATTCAAAAATCCAGACAATATTTGATTCTAAGGCTGTGCCTACCAGATGGAGAATGTGAGGATAAAAAAAGATGACCTGTCCTCCTTTTGCCAGATGCCTGGTAACTCTAGTCTAAGGTGGGCTCTGGGAACAGATGTATTTTTGATGTACCTGACAAATGTTCTTTTTTTTTTTCCTCTAGTCCAAACCAGAAATTCAAAATTCTCCAATAATTCTCACTGTTACTGCTTCTCAGTCAGAAAATGATGGGGATTCTAAAGATGAGGACGTTAGATTGGATGTTCCTATGCGCTGGTGTGTATGTTTGTCACATTGTTAACCATATTTCTTTAAAAAAGGTATAGACAGCCTGCATATCTGTATACACATCTGGGTTCCCGGCTCAATAGAAATGTTATGCAGAAGTATGAATATTTAAAAAGGGGTGCATGAAGTCTGTACTTTACACATGTGCTACAAGCACAACACAAACCGATGAAGCTATTATGCTTTGCTAGGTGAGGTGCAGAGTTGCCCTAAGTGTTTCATTTTCATGTGATAGGAAGCGGCCTCATATTAGGAGGGTCCATCTTGTTGCATTGCCCCCCCCCCCCCAAGGCAAATCTCTCAAACCCTAGTTCTACTAAGGCTATCACAGGCACCGCACTGAAGTTTATATCTGAATGGTCACTGAACTCTCACTCTTGGAAGCTGAAAAACTGGGATTCTACAAATCTAGATGAACGTACTGAAAACTGTGCTGCAAGTCCCTTTATAAAGCCTTTGAAGCAGCCCCACCACATGCTAAAACAATCACCTTGCCTGTGGCACGTTCAGCACAGATCAAGCTTGAGTAAATTTCACTAATCAAGGGAAAAATCAGGTATACCTACTTACACCAATTCTAATTCTGACAAGCATAAACATAAACAACAGTACCTGACAAGAGATGGTAGCATGTTGGACTCCAGCCAGAACTCCTTTTCAGCCTTGCTCAGATTTTGGACAGCTTCCTTCAGAGGTACCAGAACAGTCACGTTGGCTCCTCTGGGGATGCTGAAGAGGGATTTCTTTTGCCCAAAGCAAGACAACGTGCACAGGCATTAATGCTAATCACTTTTGCCAACAGATTAAAAGGCATGGAATCAAATATGTAGATCCACCACCAGCCTCATCAACGAAATGACTCAAATCAGTGGAGTCTGATATCTCCTGAGTCCCAGCACTTTTTACTGCCAAACTATCTTTCATTTAACTTTACAAATTGTAGTGTGTAGACTGTGAACTGTTGTAGCAGCCTATTTGATCCAAAGACTGATCTGTGTGATCATCAAAAGTGGGTTAACATGGAACCCTTTTTAGACTTAAATCACTTTTCTCAAGGAAGGGCCTCGTTAAAATATGTAGGTCTGTTGATCACTACAAAAATATATATTCAACAAAATGCAAGAGTAGTTAAGAGCACAGTTTTAAAATTACCCAGCAGATTGAAATATCAATGTTTTGATTCTCCAAGCAACTGCTCTAATTACATAGGCTGAAATTCTTTATTTACTGATGATCCAGTTCCAGTGAGCTGCATCTTTTGAACAGATTTATACAAGGTTCTGCTCAGAGAGTCTTTTTTTGTCAAAAACCTTAAAAGGCCATTTTTTTCTATAAAATTTTTATTTTAAAATGTAAACGGATTTTTTTCTACTGCTTGAACAATATGCTTAAACTCTATCAATTTTGTCTTGTTTTAACTTTTTTTCCCATTAAAAAAGCACTCAAAAACAATGGAAAAGCCTTACCTTAATCCACTGATAAAAAGTTGAAAAGTGGTAATTCCTTACTAACTCCTTCAAAAAGAGAAAACAACAAATTTGTAAAACACTATTCCCAGGGGTCTTAAAAAGATACATAGGAAGAGGAATTCATACATCATGCTAAACAGGTTTAATTTAACCATGGTTTGCTTGTAAGCTAAGACAACGTACTAAGACAATGCTAAGCAGATCACATTATAGCTTTAATACTACATGTAAACCAGGCAGAGGAAGGTGGATGCTTGGGGACTTGCCTAATGATTAGTTGAAAAGAGAATTCTGATATTTTCCTACTATAACAGCAGAAGCTAGTTATTCACTGGTTTGAGATGGGTGGCTATATAAATTGAATAAATAAATATTAATGTATTTAATTGTCTTTATTTTAAATATTTACGCTCTGTTTATCCTTTATATAGTTCTCAATGGCACACAGCATCTTTAAAAACATAGACTATAAAAGAACAAAACAACAGAGGGACACTCACTCACTCATTCAATAGCTGCCCAGAGTCATTTGTTGAGATAGGCAGCTATAGAAATTAAATAAATGAATGACATTCATTCCAAGGTTCCAATTGTCTGGGCAACATTCCACTTCCAATAGTGCCAGATCAGAAGAGGAGACTTTCCACAGAAAGGCAGCAACAGGCTTTGCCTCATTACTGGACTTCTTAAGCCTGTTGGAAATGTGACAAATTGGTCAACTGGCTCTTTCATTCATTTTTTCCTTACCTGACTTTTTATTTTTGGTTTTGTATTTTACCATTGTTAGGGACAGATCATCATGGAGAAAACCTCTCTATGTGATCGCTAAGAGCTGACACCAGTTTGATGGCACATATCAATCTACCATTACTTACAGTATATATCAGTGTTTTTCAACCTTGGCAACTTTGAGATGAGTGGACTTCAAATCCCAGAATTCCCCAGCCAGCATGAAGATTTGAAGTCCACTCATCTTAAAGTTGCCAAGGTTGAGAAACACCGGTATACATATTTACCAAGCAAATAATAATAAAAAAAACCTTACACTGACAACTTAATATGAAACAATAGCTGTCTTTTCCCTTTTGGCCCAAGCATAAACTACCTCTGAACATAGAGACAGCCTTCAGCTCTCAGGGGGAAGGTGCCTTAGGCAAAGGAACTGTCCCCATTGCCTTATGGCAAAGCAGCTATGAAAAGAGAGGCTTCGGGTCTGCTTTCTTACCCAAAGAAAGATCTTGGATACAATCTTTGCCTGTAACTGTGCTTTGAACCAGCTCTTTCTCAATGGCTTGCACTTAATCTGTTTTTATTCTGCAAATATGGTATGGATACATTCTTTAGCATCACATTGACACACAAGAAGAAATCATTGTTTGCATAGTGGGTGGGACAGAGAGAGAGAGAGAGAGAGATGCCCCCCCCCCTTCTTTGCTTGCCCCATAGATGTACTCTTACTCCTTTTCCTTCTGAGAGTTGTCCTACTTCCAGTCTATAATGGACAGGGTGTTGGACTAGGAATATAGGAAACC